CTGATTATCTAAGACAGCGTTTCTGAAACTTTTTTCAAGCGTGGATCACTTTTATAAATTAAAATGTTCTGCGGACCACTTTGGTTATTGTCCCCCTCGAAACATTTTTTAGCACATGTATAGTATTTTTAAAATAGGGTTATTCAAAATTCATTTAATTTTACATCCATGTTAATAAGCTGAGTTAATAGAAGAAATTTATATTCATTTTTAATAATTCTACGTCAATAGAGTATTGATAATCTTTATCTTATTTACCCCAAAATTAAATAAATCTTAGTAATCCCATTTATGAGATGAATGGCATTCTAATTCTTGCCCAACTGTTCTTGGCAAGTTTAAATCTGAGTTCAGAACGTATATCTAGTTTATTTCGGTACTTAGTTTAATTTGAGTTAATGATGAAAACGCTTTTTCACACAGATACGTGCAAGCAAACTGAGCTATGATTTTTAAAGCACAATTGCACAGTTCATCACATCCTGTTTTCACTATTAATGAGTCTGGCGACAGGTAGGCGGCGAATGAAGGTGAAGGTGAGAAGCACCGCAATCACAGAGCTTTTGTTGTTGTTGTTAAGACTAGAGTGGGAAATCCGTAGCTAGGATAACCATAAATTTTCTAAAATGCCAGTCCCGGAAGAAAAAAAGATAGACGATAGCATGTGCAATTTTCGTAGATTATCAAATATATTGAGGTACATACAGTTAATTTGGGTTATGTTTTTGGTCATTTTTAAATCTAAGTTGACAACTTATTATCCTCTGACTACAGTTTGAAAAACGCTGATCTAAGATGAAAGATAAGATTGATTTGGTTTATTTGATTATGGCAAAGCACTCGAGAATTATCTACTTAAGGCAAGGGATGCCTTCGTGGAAGGCTTTCTAAGCGAAACTGGCTGGTATACGCGTTACACATAAGGAAAACCCCAAAACGCCCGTGCAGCCAGCCCGTTCGTCAGAATCCAATTATCCCCTCGCCCATTTTCGAAGCAGATTTTTGGAGCATCATCATTTCACAAGTACTCGTTATCAATACTTAAGGTAATAATTTAATCGCGGGGCAAACTGCAACGAAGAACTTCGCGAGTAACACGTTTTTCCACAAGCATCAACTAAAACGAGAATTTCAGACTTTTTCTTGCATTCTGATCTTTATCATAAATGTCCGATTATTTTTTCACATTTAAATAACTTTAATATTTATATTAAATAAATTAACCGAAAACATTACTAATATTTTAATAGAATCTATGCGAAAAATATATTACAATATATACTTATTTCAAAATCCAACCAGAACTTTGAACATGAAATGACAGAATTTGAGCTGAATTCCTAAACTAACTCAATCTACTTGCTGTAAAACTCATTTAGTATATTTGTTTTAAAATTATATAAGTGCCATTATTATCAGTCGGCCAAAAATATCTTCAGAGTGCTTGATTTCTTTCTTTCTTTCTTTCTTTTCCTTTTCTAACTTTAAAACGTGTTATAAGGCAATAGAAAGTATAATAAAAGAATCAGTTTGTGTATGTATATTAATAGGCGTACGAAAATGCCGTCACCTTGAATGGACGGTCTTCATCTCGTTTAATGGCATTGCCACGTTTTAAGTAGTTTATAAAAGTAAATATGTATAAACAAATGTTTAAAATGATATTTATTACTTACGTATTATTTATTAGCATTGTTATTTCATATGCGTTGGATTCTTTTAAAAATTTTAGCATAATTCCTCGTTGTCAACTATTTCGCGAATTTTTCGCTCCGCGAACTGAATGTTTTCTCGAGCACTAAAGTTATTATATCCTTTATGTTCCAATACCTTCAATTCGTTCCAATAATTAGCACTTTCTAAATAAAGGGAAGTCAGGAAAGAACTAACGAAAAAAAAATTACATGGATCGATATGATCCAAAAGAGATAGATATGACAATAACTTACTTAATAACATAAACCTAGGATTTTCAAAACGACGGTTATCAGTATTCTTAATTTTGCTTCACCTTACAGAAGAAATAATATATTGTATTAGACCATGCACCCAATATTAATAAATAAGGTATGCTATAAAATTATTTTTTGATATTGAAACTAGTTTAAACAGAGCATACAATTTCTGAAAGCAATTTTAATAAGAATGACGACAGACAGAAAAACGACAAGAAGTCTGTAAGACTCCATATCAATAGTCAAGGGTTAACATTATTTACAAGCTGCTAATACATCGTATATTAATGCATGCATTCAGTAATACACAATATGAAGTCACGTTAAAAGCTCGCAAAAATCTGAACTACAGATTTAATCTTTAATTCTGTTTAAAAAAATACATACATAAAATCCTTTCAATGTTTATCATTAGGTATGACAAAATGAGATTTTTTGTTAAAAATAACTTAGAGAAAAATATATTAAGTTAGGTTATTTGTTAGGGAAAAGCACACGCGAGCTTTTAATGACTAAGAAAACTCCCAGTAACTTAAATTACGTAACGAATAGAAAATCAGAACCATTTTGCAAAAGGTGTGGCCAGCTTTGTTAACCTTTCGTATTGTACAGCCTTTGACTACCGATGACAAACATGACACGCACCGCAACTCCATGGCGCGCGTCTATGTCGAAATGTGAAATCGCTCCTTTAACCGAAAGCGCTCCTGAAAAGCGGTAAGAGTTTTGGATGACTTTAATGGCTTTCGTCTCAGTGACCAGTGTCACGATAGACAAAGACCTTTTAGAAAGAATACTTTCTTTTTCGCAATCGACAGAGCAGCTGACCCACTGAGTTAGGTGCTCTTCAGCCTGTTTGATCCCGTCGATGGAATTAAAAAAAGGGGGACGGCTTAGTATTGGGTCCTCCGGGAACTAATTACATTTACAGCTTAGTACTGTATCCTCCGGAAATTGATTATGTTAAGTGAGAAATACTGAAGGACCAAAATGTCTTGGTTAACAAATATAAACCCTAATAAAAGCTACCGTGCAAGAGGTCAGAAACGCTAATAATAAGTTTCGCTTTGAAGGTATAGCTAATTTATGCCATTATACCTTTTAATCAAATAATATTACTTTAAAAAGGCAAAGAATTATGCCAATAGAACCAAGAAACTACTACTAAAGTACTACTAAAAATACAGGTTTAGTGTTTTTTTTTTAAACCCTTGTATCAAAGTAATAACATTCTTATCTAATTTAACCTATTTCAGACGTTAATTATCAGTTTAAAATTGTCGAAATTTCTCAAAAATATTTTACCACAGCAAAACCTCTGTAAGACAACCACCAGGAGTCCAGACGATTTTGGTATTATGGATATAATTTTTCCTTACAGCACATAACTACCAATGGTGTTTAATAATGTTATTTAATTCTCAGAGGCCCACCAGCGGCCGAGCGGTAAAGTCGTTAAACACTGGTAGTTCGGTCCAAGGTTCGAATCCCGCGTACGGGCTGGCTGCATGGGCGTTTTCGTGGTTTTCCCCATGTGTAACGTGTATACGAGCCAGTTTCTCTTAGAAAGTCCTCCCCAAAGGCACCTCTCGCCTTAGCCAGATAGCCCTCGAGGCTTTGCCATAATCACACACACTCACTAATTCTCAGAGATCACTAGTTGCTCTGAGAAGTTACAATTTCAGAAACGTTGTCTCCATTGGAGGGTATTATCTGCTTCGTGAAAACTAGCTTCTCGGATTAAATACTGACAGCGCTCATCAAGAAAATCAGTGTAGAAAATAGATGAAAAATTTTCGTAACTGTTATTGTGAATTAGCTCAGAAATACTTTATTGTACATTTTCTGCGCGAGAAATAAACTCGCCCTGCTCTAACGAGATTAATAACACAGTGGTCACGTTTTACAGCATGATACAATTACTTTTGACATCTCTTAATAATCTGCTACAATATGAAGGCTTGCAGAGACTAAAGAAGCTACATAACGACATACAAAACGTCTATAACAAACAAAGAGATTTTGATTTCTGGAATATTAATATTGATGGAATAACAACTATATGGACGGTGCAAAGTTAATATAGTATTTATTTTACCCTTGGTGAAAGTATACAGTTTTAGAATTGGGAGCATTTGGATTAGGCAAAGCACACAAGGAATATCTGCCTAAGAGAAGGGATGCCTTCGTGAAGAACTGTCTAGGGAAACTGACTTATAATCGTAATAACCAGCTTAGGAGGCAAGGCCATGAACCTACATATTTGGAAAGAACCCTTAAAATTCTGCATAATGTTGCTCTAAATTTAAATTACTGCAAATAATTTTTAAAATAGATACTGATTAACCATAATATTATCAATTCCTTCTCACACATTACTTATATAAAAATGAATTACATTAACTATTTAGACGCCCCTAGAAAAGTCAAAAACCTTTAGATTATTTAGATTGCACTTCGTGACTGTGCATTTATCAATCTTGCGACTTGACAAGTGCTTTCATTCGTGAAAACATAAGGTCTTTCATCTATTTTTTACAAACAGCTTCTCTATAAAATATAAGGTCTTTAATTTATCTTTCACATTTACTCAAATTAAGTAATTATTAAACAAACTGAGATTTAAGAGCAATAAACTCATTTCATAATAACTCAAACCTTTGTATTTTAATGATATATTTAATCGATGTAATTTAAAACATATTTGAATAATAATATATCTAACGGATACTTTTTAAGCGCAGATTACTGCTGTAATTAATAGAGGCTATTTCTAATGTCATATATCATTTACCTCGATACAGAATCGTTTGATTTGCTTTATTGTAATACCTCTTAAAGAAGCAGTATTCGACGTTTTAAATATGAAATATACATTAATAAAACAAATATTCGTGTGAACAATATTATTCTCCTATTCATGTCAATCACAACGTTCGTAAATTTTGTACCTACAAAATAGCCAGAAATAATAACAATATATTTTGTATAAAGTATGTCGCATATTAATGAGTTATATGAAAAAGGTTGTCTACATAAACTTACTTTTTCAGAAGCTTTACTAAGCCCTTCACATTTGGCTCCATTTATTAGGAATAAAGTTATCAAAGTTTTTCCAAACTTTTATGTAGTGTTTCCAAAGGATAACCTCTGTAAGTATTTTAAAAGTTTCAGAAAGATTCACCGCAAGCACATATATTTCCCATTTTAAATTCTGTCGTAACTTAAGAAAAAATAAGCCGTTTTGAAGGTTGTAGAAACCGTCTGACTTTAGATTGGAAGCTATGAGAAACCGCTGCTCCATCTGAAAAAAACGCGATTCCGAACTTTCAGCTTCTCTTCTCACGTTCTGTTCTGATTTCAACTAAAGCTCCAAACTCAAATATCGAGTTAAAAACTAAAATTCTTGCCACTTATTCATTTGAACAACACACATGAAACAGGACTGTTCCATTTGGAATTATGAGTTTAAGCTGGTTATTCCATCCATCGTATTCATCATTTCTCGCTGCTATTCGATGACATGTAATGATCTGTTATAAAATCGGCACTTAGCCATGACGGGAGAAAGTAGTGCGCTTACCTTCCTTCCACATTCATTAACTTAATAATAATCGCTCACGTTTTGGGACATTGCAGTCACCGCAATTCAGATTCATCACCTGTGAAATGGCGCAATGCTGTTTGCGGTGAAGGTCGGCTAGGAAACCTTTGAAGGAAACTCCCTGAGTAAATTCAATTTTTATATTTGCATGCATAAAAATTATTACATGAGTTTCTACTTTTTTTAATGAAAAGAAATGATGACCGTCAGACAGAAGAACAAGGAAAATGAGTGAAATTTCCACACACGTTTTTCAGTGTCAAAATGTGTAACTTGGATTTATATGAAAGTTTTGAAACTTAGCTCTAGGCAAGGTCGCTTTTGCTGAAAGGAAAAAAAAAAACATTCTTTTTCCCTTAAAAAAATGACACATGCATTTTCCGAACTCTGTTACGGTTACTTGTCACTTCTTAATGTTTGTAATTGAAGGATGTAAGTTTCGTAACTGCACTTTTCATTCTTATCTTGATTCTATGGAAAAAAATGTTTACCGTAAATTTCTTTTTTTTTTAAATTTTCTAAATTGTTAAGCTCGATGTTTTTTTATAAATAAAAAAGTAGATATAAAAACGCTATTGCTATGTTTCTTGATGATAATGGAGCATATTATCTGTCTGCAAGGTGTTATGCATTTCAATTTGAATAAATTAAACGCAGTAACAACCTAAAGAGAATTTTGTTTATCTCGTAATAGCGGTATTTGACCGGTGGCAAAAAGCTTATATACCGATTAGTCAGAATTCTTTTCTTTTTCTTTTGTAGTAGAAATAATTATTAATCTCAACTCAGATTTAAAAATTTTTCCATTATGCTTAATACGCATGATTCCAATAAATTAAACTTAAACCTCTTTCCAGTTTATCATATAATTTTTTTACAGAAACCCAGAGATTCTTACCAGAGTATTATCTTATTTTCCTATTTAAGAATTCCATTAACTTAAAATTGAACTACTTAATATTGACTAAAACGCCTAAACTACCTTTTTAAATATTAAAATTTTAGCCCGGCTCCCATACTAATTCTGCAGCAGCCTACCATTTATTTAAATGAAATAACTCAAAATTTTGCATCTGGAATTCTCAGTTTTTTTAGTCTTGACAGCTTTTGTTCAGATAAACTTTTTTGCCTTCACTCATTTGAGTAAAAACTTAATTCGTCGAAAATTTAAATTCATTTGGAATAAGATTTACAGAGCTTATTAAAAAATGAAGAAATAGCTCTTAAAAATAAATTACGTAACGTAAACGAAAGAGCTAAAAAAATAATGAATAGCCTTCAAATATATTTTAATAAACCAACAACAACCAAAAAAAAAAAAAAAAAAAAAAAACCGCATTATTATTTGTACAGACAAATATGGGGGGAGGGACTTTTCATGTGACGCGCAAACGATTAGTCTGTACTGAAATGTGTACCTTTGGCAATTACGCTAACAGCGTAAATGCTTATGAAAATCATTAGTTAGATTACCGTAAAACATACAAATTAGACATGTTAATACTTCATCAGTTACAGATGTCATTAAAAATAGAATAATGATTAAGAAGTATCCATATCGCCTTTCAAATCCGTCAATTAATTAAGCAATATACACTTTTAATTTCAAAGACAAATTAAAGATCTTATGGAATGTCAAATAGCAACATCCTTCAGAGCTGGCAAGCTGGCATATATAGGTCTACGTTCAAAGTTAAAAGCCCTAACATTATATAATGCAATATAAAAATGATTAAAAATTAGAAAGTCTGAGATATAAATGTTTTCAGTGTCATGTTGAGTTCATGCTAATTAGGCTTTCGCCTGGAATTATGACTATTCACATCTCCAAGGAAGAAGAAAAATAATACACAAACGATCGAACATCAGACTGGAGTATACACACAACCTCGGTTTCGAATTATCTGTCAAACTCTGTTAAACGGCCCACCAGCGGCCGAGTCGCTGAATAGTTTGATCCGGAGTTTGAATCCCGGCAAACGGGCTTGGCGATTACATTTTTATTTTTTCCTATGTGTAAGGCAACACTTGTGAGCACGCATTGTTAATAAAATAGCAAAAGAAGGTCAAATATTGCAGAAGCTGTAGATGTTGCTAACGACAGAATCTTAGTTGCATAACCATTCCTTTAAAAATGTTTCTGCGACATTAATTTTTATGTAAAAATGCGTCTTTTGGATGGCGGTAAATAAAAATACTTCTAAAAATTCGAAGGAACATCCGTCTTGTAATTCGATATGGTACTTACAAGTTTCATGATTTCTTTTGTGAAAAACCGATAATCCTCTCCGCTAAACCCCCAAAAATATCACATTTTTTTTATTACATTTCTCTATTCAGGTTTTTACCTTTCGAAGCGAAGACATAACAATTTATCTCTTACACTTCTTATCGAGTAATTTTTTATCAAGCAAAATGTTGTGACTTCTTCTTGTTTGCAAAATGTTTTAATACAAATATACTCTGTTTTAATACATCTGAGTAATTTTGAGTACTCGATAAATAAATGATAAATTTGTTTATTGAGTACTCAAAATTAGTGTTTGAAACATTTCACGTTTCGTTGTCGACTGTAACAAGCCTTGGCTCATTTGCAGACTTTTAGGCAAATTTTTCTTATTATTTAGTTATGGTTCTGTCTGTTCTACGATATTTTGTTAGATGCAAATTTCTGCCAGAAAAATTAAGAGATAAACCAAAATGCAGCATTGTAGTCCATGCTGCATTTTTTATGAATTTTGTATACTTAATGAGGAGGGGGCAACTAGATGTCGAGCGATTAAGTCGTTGAGCATTGGTAATTCGGTCCGACGCTCTTGTCTTGGTAAATGGGAGTTTCCGTTTTAGTAGTTTTCCCATGTATAATGTGAATACAAACTAGTTTCCCTTAGAAAGTCTTCCAGAAAAGCATCCCTTCCGTTAGGCAAATAGCCCTCGAGTGCTTTGCCATAATTAAATAATCCAAGCCAAACTTAATTAATGTAGGGAAAACTATTTAAGTGAATAAATTTTGCCCTTTTTTTTTTTTTTTTTTTTTTTTGTCTTTCCGATGATAATTATTTACATTCATACTTAACCACTTCGATTTATAATTTAGGCAGAAGTTGAATCAAACATACTTTTAAATTTCAAAGATATGTCGTAAAATTCTGTAATATCAGGTGTATCTAACTGTTTGAGGGAGGGGAACAATCTGTAAGCAATTTTCCTAAGACGATTGGTTTACAATTAGGGCATAACAGAAACACACAAAGTTTTTTGTATTCAATTCGTTCTTTTGTATAAAATAAAGATTCACGGAAACCTTTTACTACTTTTAAACGAATTAACATGTTTTAAAAGTAAAAGACAAATTAAATAAATAAATATAGCATAAATAAAAAAAGTAAATAAATATAAATAAAATTAATTAATTATTGACGTCCCATTTATTATGCTATGTATTAATTGTTATTCTGTAAATCTCAAATATTGAATAAAATATATTACCAGGTATTCGCATTGTTTCATTCGGTTATGCATTAGTCTTAATAAAGAACCATTAAATTTATCTAATAGCACTATCCTGCATAACTACACTCATGTCCATAAATTAAGGATAATTCGGAGTCACGCGGAAATCGAACTCTAAAATAAATATATCACCTGCAGAATCACTAACACATCTTAAAAAATCATATGCAATTTCAGGAAGTAACCAGATGACACCGATGTACGTCACATGACGAGAGTGTAAGAGAGTGATATATAAGGAATAGGCAAAGAAGTAAAATTGTACGCAGGCGCTTTATAAGCATTTCAGTGCAATAAACCGAATATTTATGACAAAAGACGCATTGGATGAGGGTTACGTGGTAGATAATCGGGCCGTCTGGAATGTGGGAGTACCAACTGGAAGTATCAGACGAACTTGGAATTGCCCAGAGTGTCATCTCCAGGCTTTGGCAAACGATTCCAAGATGATGGTAATGTGAGTAGACGTACAGAACAGGTCGTCCCAGAGTTACAACGCCGAATGGGGACCGGTATTTGGCAGTTACTGCCAAAAGAAACAGGGGGAGCATAGCCTCACACATGTCTCGTCAGCTCTCTTCCGCCACTGCCAATTTCAAGGCAGACCGTGTACAGACGCTTAGGGCAGATTGGTCTATATGCTCGTAGATCTGTCTGATGCGGTCCATTAACTGCAACTCACTGTCGCCTGCGGTTAGCCTGGATTACAGAGCATGCATGGTGAACACTGAAAAAGTGGGCTTGTGTGATGTTTTTTGACGAGTCCAGGTTTAGCTTGCAGTCTGATTCTCGCCGGACTTTCATATGGAGAGCTCCAGTTACCCGTTACCACCAAGAAAACATCAGCTCGTTTGGGTGGAATTATTCTGGGTTCTAGAACTGACCTGCATGTTCAAATTGGAACCATGACAAGCCAAATCTATCGGGACGTCACTCTGGAACAACATGCACGCTTGTTTTGGGGCGCCATGGACGCACAATTTGTGTTTATGGATAACAACGCCCGTCCTCACCGTGCAAACATCATAAGCGAATGCCATCAATCGGAAGTAAAGAAAATCCAGTATGGACTCGCCAGCATTCTCACCGGACTTGAATCCAGTAGAGCACGTGTGGGACATGCTTGGCCGACGAGGTGCAGCCCGTCAACCTCATCCTACATGTCTACCGGAACTTCGGAAGGCATTGCTTTTTGAGTGGTGTAATATCCCCCAAGATCAGATCGATAATTTGATACTCAGCATGCCTAGGCGTTGTACGGACTGTATTGCATCGTGTGGGAGACATACAATGTATTAACAATCATAGCAACCATGTAATATTGGTTTTTTTGTAAATAGGGTTTTTTTTTTTTTTTTTTTTTTTTTTTTTTTAAATTTGCTCCAGGGAGAAAATACTGCTAATTTTTTTAATAATATTAAACATAT